CAGGGCCAGACTGCTTCAGCACGGGCTTTCCACAGAGTTGCAGCCTTCTTTGGGCACAGCCTCCTGCTCTGGTGTGGGGTCATCCATGGGCTGCAGGTGGATCTCTTCTCCACTGTTAACCTCCACTGGCTGCAGGGGGTCAGCATGTCATCTTACCACAGGCTGCAGGGGAATACCTGCTCTGGCACACCTCCTCCCCCTCCTTCACCGACCTGAGTGTCGGTGTAGTCGTTCGTGTCGCATCCCACTCCTTTCTCAACTTTGTCCCTTTCTCAAATATGTTATCAAAGAGGTGTCCCCACTTGGAGTCAAGGAAGCTTCTAGCAGCTTCTCACAGGAGCCACCCTTGTAGGCCTTCCCCTGCTAAAAATCCCACCACACAAACCCAACACAGGGCCTTTCAAGGTCATCTAGTCCAACCCCCCTGCAGTGATCAGGGACATTTTCAACCAGATCACAGAATTACAGAATCACAGAATGTCAGGGATTGGAAGGGACCTCGAAAGATCATCCAGTCCAATCCCCTGCCAGAGCAGGAACCTAAATGAGATCACACAGGAAGGTGTCCAGGTGGGTTTTGAATGTCTCCAGAGAAGGAGACTCCACACCCTCCCTGGGCAGCCTGTCCCAGGGCTCTGGCACCCTCACTGGAAAGAAGTTTCTTCTCAAGTTTAAGCAGAACCTCCTGTGTTCCAGCTCACACCCATTGCCCCTTGTCCTACCATTGGGCATCACTGAGAAGAGCCTGGCTCCATCCTCCTGACATTCGCCCTTTACATATTTATAAACATTAATGAGGTCACCCCTCAGTCTCCTCTTCTCCAGGCTAAAGAGCCCCAGCTCCCTCAGCCTTTCCTCATCAGGGAGATGCTCCACTGCCTTCATCATCTTGGTGGCTCTGTGCTGGGTTGTCCAGAGCCCTGTCCAGAGATCAGGTTGTCCAGAGCCCTGTCCAACCTGACCTTGAATGTTTCCAGGGATGGGGCATCTACCACCTCTCTGGGAAACCTGGGCCAGTGTTTCACCACCCTCGTAAAAAATTTCTTAACTTACATCTGGTCTAAATCTCCTCTCTTTTAGTTTAAAACCATCACCCCTTGTCCTATCACAGCAGGCCTTACTAAAAGTTCTATCTCTATCATTCTTATAAGCCCCCATAAAGTATTGAAAGGCTGTAATAAGGTCTGCCCAGAACCTTGTATTCTCCAGGCTGAACAACCCCAACTCTCAGTATTTCTCCATATCAGAGCTGTTCCATCCCTCTGATCATTTTTGTGGTCTCCTCTGGAACTGCTCCAGCAGATCAATGTCTTTCCTGTGCTGAGAGATCATTTGGGAAATTCCCATGACCCATGTTATCTGACAACTGGCCCCAGTTATTTCTTCAGTGGTCCTTGACAAGCATCACTTAAACACATGTTGGAATCATAGTGTAATCAATGGAGGAGACATCTGGATGTCTCTAGTACAGCATCCTGCTCAGAGCAGGGCTGTCCCCAGCACAAGAACCATGACTTTGTCTAGCTGAGTCTTGAGAATCTCCAAGGTTGGAGATTCTATACCTGTCTACTGATCTGTCCCAGGACTGTCACATCCACCTGGGGAAGGAGGTTTGATCCCAAGCTGCAAATCTCCCCTTCTTTGTCCGTGGCAATTTTCCATCTGCCGCTACTGGGAGGACTTTGTCTCCATCATCTTCGTAGTTCCCTTTCAATTAGTTATGGTCTGCTATTAGATGACCCTTAGTCTCCTCTTTGCTGAGATAAATCATCACAGCTCCTTCAGCCTCTCCTCTAGGCTCCTGACCATCTCAACAGCCTTTTGCTGGCAGCTCTCTAGTTTCCTCACAAACCTCTGGAACTGGGGATGCGCTCTGGGGTGACCTTACCCAGCAGCACCTTCCTTCTATCAGCTGGCCACACACTTAGTATTCTCCAGCACCCAGTTCCTCTTACCCACAGCGAGGGAGTGCCGCTGGCTCATACTGCACCTGGTGTCCACTGGACCCTCCAGCTCCTTCCAGCCTGGACCAACACGAGGGGTTATTCTACCTCACATGCAGAATCTGCAGTTGCTGAACTTCTAGTTCCTGTTGGCCCAGTTCTCAAGTTTATCTAAGTCCTTCTGTACTGAAACTCTGCTATTCCTCATTGCAGCCAATCCCCCTTATTTATCATAACAGAGGTGTCTCTGATAAGCACCAAGGTCATTTACCTGGTGCTCTCCAGATCACTGACAGTAAACTTCTATCTTAGCAGGGCTCTAAAGTTCATTAGCACTCTTTAAGTTCTTGCTTTTGTAACTATAAAAGCAACTATTTTGAAATAGTTTGACTATGAGAGCCTTACTCTGAGTGTGTAGTTGCACAGTAGCAATCTATAAACTGCACTGCAGTAAACAGAAAGAGTTTAATATTGTGTTCAGCCTGGGAGATGAATACTGTTGTTGGTATCTGTTAAAAGCATACTGCAACTAACCACAAAATTAACTCTAAAACTTGCGCCTTTATTGTAGCTCAGTGCTTGGAATATCTCAGCTCTAATCTGCTTTTATTCTCTACGCAGCGAGTGTTTCTCTGGGACCTGGATGAGACCATCATAATCTTCCATTCACTTCTCACAGGGTCTTATGCTCAAAAATACGGCAAGGTAATAGTGTCTTTTCTGTGGAAGAAAAAACATAGCTGTCATGCAGTATTAAATGTTAATCTTTGGAAAAGGAGTAGAAAATTATATTTTGTTTTAAATGTGTAAGGTGATACTTTTAACTTGTTGACAATTTGGGAGGGGAAATTGTTGACAATTTGGGGCAGGGAAAGAAAACAAAATTTGTCTTTATACAGAGGTAGGATATGGGCATCACAAAGAGTTCCCTTCTAACTGTACAAGTCTTAAAATGTCAAACTGTTTTTATCATCATTGGGAATTACTGAGATCATAGCACAGAGTGAAAGAAGTATTTTTTTCTCTTTAAACATATATTGAAGGTTTTTGAATGTTTTATTTGTGTTGTCTCTGAAAATGCATCAGTCGCTGCTATCATTACTGAAGTGTTTTGGTACATTTTGGGTCAGTGCTTTACCACAATGTGGAATTTTTTTTTTCTAATCACATTGTTTAAAATATTAGGGAAATTGTAGTTCACCCCACTGAATGCAGATGGAATTATGTCAGGCTTGATATACAGTGGAAACTCTGTGCAGTGTAACTGATGCAGAAGGAAATTGTGATAAATCTTTCTTGTAACCACAGCAAATTTACATTTTCTCTTTTTGTTTTGCCAGGATCCAACTCTAGTGATTGGCTCAGGTCTGTCAATGGAGGAGATGATTTTTGAAGTAGCTGATACTCACTTGTTCTTCAATGACTTGGAGGTACATGGCAAATGATTTTGAAAGGCAGAGCTCCACATTACCGAGTTAGAATTGCACTGCATCATTTGCCAGGGCTATTGTGCTTCAGAGCCACTTCATGCTGAAACCTGACAGTCTGCCAGAACTGCAGGGGTTCTGAACACAACCACATGGAAGGAGTGTACTCTTTTATCCAGGACAGCCATTTATCAGACTCTTAGTGTCATGAGATCTCTTAGCTATCTGCTGGGTTTCTACTTGAATGTCTATAAATAAAAAGAGCGATGGCTGCTTTGTTTTATATTTTCATTCTGGACTGGTAAGCCCTTTGCTTTCACTGATCCTGTTTTGAAAGGGACATCAGAGATGTGGGGAATCATAGAAGGGTTTGGGTTGGAGTGGACCTTTAAAAGGTCATCTAGCCCAATGTCCCTGCAGTGAGCAGGGACATCTTCAACCAGATCAGGCTGCTCAGAGCCCTGTCCAACCTGACCTTGAGTGTTTCCAGGTATGGGGCTTCTTCCCCCTGTCTGGGAAACCTGGGCCAGTGTCTTACCACCCTCAGTGTAAAAAATTTCCTCCTTACATCTAGTCTAAATCTTCCCTCTTTTAACTTAAAACCATCACCCCTTGTCCTAGTGCTACAGGCCCTGATAAAAAGTTAAAATAATTCTTATAGGCCTCCTTTAAGTATTGAAAGGCTGCAATAAGGTCTCCCCAGAGCCTTGTTTTCTCCAGGCTGAACAACCCCAACTCTCTCAGCCTCTCTTCGTAGAAGAGGTGTTCCAGCCCTCTGGTCATTTTTGTGGCCTCCTCTGGACCCACTCCAGCAGGTCCATGTCTTTCCTGTGCTGAGGGCTCCAGAGCTGGATGCAGCACTGCAGGTGCAGAAAAAGGTGACTTTGAGAACGTAAGTTCTGAGGGACTTTAACTAAGCTAAGGACAGAATACAAAAAGACAAAAAAACACCCCAACAAAACACAAAACACCAGTCTCTTGTGCTGGAAAGGTAGTCACTGATATGTTGACAATGTCATGAACACCACCACTGATTGCTGTAGGTGATGGTTAGTAGCAGCAACAGGAAATTCTTGAAATGGGGGAAATTAACTTTGGGTCCTAAGGTGTTTGCAGTTTGTCTCCAAGTTAAATCAGCTGTGCTAAGCACCAGAGTCTTGGCAGTGCCACCACACTGATGTTTCACTCCAGGCTTCGTGCCGTGGCTCTCCAGTAACAGAACTGACTGTTGTGTTGAGGAAATGGAATATCAATACTTGACCAGATAATGCAGGTTTGGGGTGGTTTTTGGTTTAGTTTGGTTTTGTGAAATGGCAAAAGAGTTTCAAATGACAAGTGAACTCTGAGTCCAGCCTGCTCAGTGAGTGTCAAAGTTCCTTTTTGGCATACAACTTGAAATGTCAAGGAAACATGCTTTTCAGACTTCTCTTGGTACTTCAAATCTCAGTCTTGGCAAGGACCCATAGGTGCTGAGAAGTAAAACCTCGTACTGGAACACAAAGCTAATGGAAGCTATGTATAGGTTTGCGGAAGCAGTATGGTGTGGCTCATTGCTGCTGGGAAATGTGAGGGGATTGTTTTATGCCACGCTCTTTAATTTGCAAATTTCAGTGTTTCTGCTTTACAACAATGTGACTTTGTTTTTATTTGTTTCTTAAACAGGAGTGTGACCAGGTACACATAGAAGATGTGGCATCTGATGACAATGGCCAAGATTTAAGGTAATTACTGATGAATACATTAAATGAATAGCTGATGTAATGTGGTTTTTGTGGGGACTTCAGACCCAAATGGGGTTAAGGGATAGAGGTCAGCATTGTGCAGGGGCTGAAACTTGGCAAATGATGTTTGTTTGCTGGGTGGTATTTCTTTGAAGACCTACAAAACATTATGACTTTAGGAATTATAATGTGAATTATATGATCCACTGTTGAATGTTGCCTGTGAGCTCGATGACATATCATGAATGGAGAACCAACACTCCAAACTTCACGGTCTTGACCTTCAAATGGTTTGCATCCCTCTGGGAGCTGATTGTGTACACTGTCCGGTGGGTTTTCTGCTGCATTAATGAGCTGAACTGGCTCATGGAAAGGTCAAAGAAGTGTCTGTCTATCAGGAAGAAATAAATACAGGGAAAGTGGTGAAGCAGGACCTGCTTCCTGCAGTCGCCAGCTGGTAAAGCAGGTCATCTGCTTGTGGAGCTGCAGCTGTGATGTAAAGATACAGATGTTATGTTTGGAAAATACTGCACTGGGGTTTATCACTGCAGGATGAGAAAGGGCTTAGTGGGAAGGATGCTCTGTATCACAGAGGAGTGAGCAGTCAAAGAACAAAGGAAGGTTTTGTTGTGAAGGGTGTGAAAGAAGAGTTGAATTGGTACATTTCAGTACAGAGGTTCAGAACTGGCAGCAAATGTAGTTGGGTATCAAGAGTACATTGCCAACAGGAGTCTGTCTGTGCTGTCAGGGTGCAGGAGTGGTGGTGCAGTTCCTTTCCGAGGTGCTTTTCTAGCTGCTGTCAGAGCTGAAGTCTGCAGCCATGCCAGAAAGGCTGCAGTGGTTCTGCTGCTGTGGCACATGTAACAGATCTGCTTTTCTGAAATAGCAACTACAATTTTTCCACGGATGGCTTCAGTGGCTCAGGCAGTAACGCGAATCACAGCTCATCAGTTGGTGTCCAGGGTGGAGTGGACTGGATGAGAAAACTGGCCTTCCGCTACCGCAGGGTACGAGAGATCTACGACAAATACAAAACTAATGTTGGAGGTGAGTGTTCACCTGCACCAATATCTGAGCACTAAACAGAGTTTGTCGTGCCAGACTCCATCCTTCCTCAGAGCTTTTGCTTTTCTAAACCTTTGCATATGAAAAGTAACAGTTCTCCTAGTGCTAAATGGGATCAAATCTCCCTGGAATCTAACAAGGTACATCTTCCAAAACTGAATGGTGTGCCAGTGCAGTCTGTGAGTTACGATATAGATAGGGGTGGTCTGTCAATCCTGTATCTTAAGAGAAAAGTTTGGTGCAAACAGTGTCCCTTTGCTAATTCGGTATGAGAGGCTGCCTGTCACCCTCCTGAGAACGGGCCTGAGTGACGTACGTATCACTCTGGTTAGGAGCCTTCCCGCCCCTGTCCTGTCTGTCTGTTAGCATGCTGTTGTTGAGAAATAAATCCTTTTGACTGTTGTGCTCATAGTCTGACATGACATCTCTACCATCAGTTCACAAAGCCACTTAAAATCTAGTTTTGCTTCCCTTCCAGTGCCAAAGTAGTAATAATGATGGTATCTACCAAACATAAAGTTTCTGTTTAGTCTCAGTCTTGGCACTGCCATCCCTGGGAAAGGGGTGCTGCTGGAGCAGCTCACCTGGCAGGGTGACTTGGCCTGGGGAGTTCGGAGTTTGGGTACCCTTTGTCTACACAAAAAAAACTTGATAGAACATTTTCTTGGATATATTTTCTAAAAGCCAGGTGTTCAAAATTGTAACTTTCAGCCAGAAAAATCTATCAGTGTAAGTCTGCATTTCAGTATTCTGCAGTTACCTTACTTCTGGTAGAGATCAGACCATTATTCCATATTTTGCTGGTGGAAACCTGGATGCAGAGTTTTGCAGGACCTGTCTAAAGCCACATGGTAAAGCAGCTGGCAGTGCAGCCCACAGTGGGTCCCTCCACAACCTCATTGTCAGGGGACTGGGGTACTTCAGGGCTGGAGTGAGATGAGGGTTTGTACATCATGGCTGGAAATTGGAGAGAGGTTCAGACTCAAGATGCTCCTTTTGTTGTATTTACTGACGGGAACAGGTTTGAGGGTAGGGACTCCATTTCTGGCTGCTTTTAATTCAAAACTGGATGCTTTTGAGAAAATGGTATCTAAAAGGGATAAAAAAGACAGGGATTTGAAACGAAGTATATATATTAAAAAAAAGATATCTAAAAGCTATTAAAGTGGAAGGATCCTTGTGCCTGTGGGGAGTTGGAAGTCAGACAGGGCGACTGCAGGAGCTGCTTCCCTGCTGTCTGTGGCCTCAGACAACAGCTACTGTCGTGAGTGCTTTGTACAGCAGAAGTGCATTGTGTTGCACGTATCCTGAGAAATGGTTTGAAATAATCAGAGAAATGTACCTACCCAGTTCCCTACGGTCAGAGTCACAGACACGTGTCTGGGCTCATCCGTGTCACTGGAAGCTGGTTTCTCCTGTTGCCATGAGACACTCTCAGCCTTCAGATCCCTTTGGTGCTGTGCTTTTTGAACAGGCAGCCGTTAAATAGAGTGATGGCTCTCTCTGTGTTAGACTTCTCAACTCAGCTGGGAAAACTTGCGTTGCTTGCCTTCCAGGTCTTCTCAGCCCGCAGAAGAGGGAAGCGCTGCAGCGACTAAGGACTGATATAGAAGTGCTAACAGATTCCTGGCTGGAAACTGCATTAAAGTCCCTGCTCCTCATACAGTCCAGGTACGGAAACTGGAAATGCGTGTGTTGCTTTCTCAGCCCTTTCTCTCAATTAAATTTGCATGCAGTGCTGTGTTGCAGCAGTGTCCATATGTAATGGGAAGCAAAGTGAGTGAGTGCAGGAACTCCACTCCTGAGCACCTCTTGGGATTTTTCTGCTGCAACATCTGTTGTTAGGAAAGTACCCATAATAGGACTGTGCTCATAAAATTGCCTTTCTGCCTGGGAATATCTGTTTAAAACAAAAAGCAAACAAAAACCACAAATCAAAAGCCTCTTGAAAGCAGGACAACAAAGCACATGGCACTTGGGAAAGCTGAGCATGCTGCCCAGAGCAGCCCTCAGCACCACTAGAAGTAGATGTGCTTTTACAGGTGTTTTTCTTCTTTTAGAAAAAACTGTGTGAACATCCTGATCACAACCACCCAACTGGTGCCAGCTCTAGCCAAAGTTCTCCTGTATGGATTGGGCGAGGTGTTTCCCATCGAAAATATTTATAGTGCTACAAAAATAGGTAAGGGGTTGTGCTGAGTACCTGGCACTGAGGTGTCAGCTCTGTTTAACTGACATTTTTACACAGAAAATACAATTTCTGCAGCTGAGCAGCCCCTGTGGCTGCTGTGGTCCGGACGGCCATGTAATAGTGGTGGCTTCTGGCCTCACAAACTGAACTGGGTGTTATCTCCTTCCCAGTTAAGACAAGAATGTGTTTCTGTTCTGGGAAGAAGGGAGCTGTTCAGGCTTCTGTTACGCTCTCATTCCAGTGGGGTTGTCCTTTTGGCAGGTAAGGAGAGCTGTTTTGAGAGGATCGTGTCACGATTTGGAAAGAAAGTCACCTACGTGGTAATTGGAGATGGGCGTGATGAAGAGGTTGCAGCTAAGCAGGTGGGTTTGTGACTCTGCAGAGGTGGGATTTGGGTGCATGTAAAGGGAAGTTACTGCAGCAGCTGTCTTCTGCAGAGACACTTTTTCCAGGGCTGAACTCTTCAGGCCGGGGCAGCCAGGGGGAAACTTTGCCTTTGATGCAAGACATCTCCATAAGATGGAGAGTTTTCTGGCTCTTGGGGGTTTAAAAAGTTTGTTTTACTGTTGTTTAAGATTGCGCATAGCGTCTTTCTTATGAGGACAGACTGAGAGAGCTGGGTCTGTTCAGCCTGGAGAAGAGGAGACGGAGAGGGGACTTATCAATGTTTATAAATATCTAAAGGGTGGGTGTCAAGACGATGGGGCCAGACTCTTCTCAGTGGTGCCCAGTGATAGGACAAGGGGCAACAGGCACAAACTGGAACACAGGAGATTCCACTGAAACATGAGGAAAAACTTCTTTCCTGTGAGGGTGCCGGAGCCCTGGGACAGGCTGCCCAGAGAGGGTGTGGAGTCTCCATCTCTGGAGATGTTCAAACCCACCTGGACACTTTCCTGTGTGACCTGCTCTGGGTGACCCTGCTCTGGCAGGGGGGTTGGACTGGATGATCTCCTGAGGTCCCTTCCAACCCCCACCAGTCTGGGATTGTGTGAAACAGTATTTTGATGTAGCCTGTCTTGATCACAACGTGCAGCTGTCAGTCAGGATAATGCAGTTTCTCAGAAGCACGGAAGGAGTCAGGACTTGGTTGCCAGCAGTCAGGTCAGATCAATACAGAGCATCTACCTGTAGTCTGAATTACAAACAAGGAGCAAACAGTTTGATTCAGACAGGCCTGAATAGGTTAATAATGCTAATTAAAGGCAGTGAAGTGCACAGATTACTGTCAGGACATCATCTCTGCGGGCTTCACACTGTCTACCACGCGCCAGAGTTGTCATCTACGCAGGTTCCCTGAGAGTCCTGGGAAGGTTTTCCTGGGTGAAGCAGCAGCTCACAGCTGAGCGCTGAGGTTTCCCTCACAAGTGTGTAAAGCAGCTGATAGTGCCGGTGCCCGTCAGAAACAGATGTGCAGATCAGATAGGCTTCAGAACCGATGTGCGTACAGCTGAGGTCCTGGGTTGGACGTTAGGAAAAGGTTCTTGAGGCAGAGGGTGGTGGAGCACTGGAACAGGCTCCCCAGGGAGGTGCTGATGGCACCAAGCCTGACAAGATGCCAGCAGCATTTGGCCAAGGCCCTCAGGGACATGGTGTGAATGTTGGGATTGTCCTGTGCAGGGACAGGAGTTGGACTCCATCATCCTTGTGGGTCCCTCCCAACTCACAACATTCTGATTCTCTGATCTTCCTGAATGTGGTATGCTCAGGCAGTGCTGTCACAAACGCCACCTTGCACAGCCCTGCAGATGTCCCTTGACTGCACCCACCTGCAGAATCACGCTCATAAACCTGACTTTGTCATCTCTCTGTTACAGCACAACATGCCTTTCTGGAGGATCACAAATCACGCAGACCTCGTGTCTCTTCACCAAGCCCTCGAGTTAGACTTCCTGTAGGGAGCTGGAGCAAAGGTGTGACTGCAGCTCCTGCGAGCCCTCTCCATCACTGGGGAGGCAGAAATCTCATACATTTGGGGACTCACTTTTCAGCTTGATGAAGAAAACATACCTAATGCAAACTGTACAGTAGAACATGACTCCAGGTCGTTTCCTCAGGAGCACAGGCCCTGCCAAGTACAAAGGTGTCCTATAAAGAAGCACTAGACTCAGCAGAGCTAGAGCTTGTCTAAAGAAAAGACTTACAGAAGCCAGCTGAATTCCTCTAGCAGGTAGTCTCCAGACGGAGGGGCTGATTCAACAGCAGAAGTATTTGTAAGAGCCTTCTCCTTTCTATTCAGCTTAGTTGTAGAACCCAAGTAAACACAAAACCTTATTTTTATAGAAAAAAATACTGATGGCAGAGCTCAGCCTCCCTTGTTTCACAAAGCCGAAAAGAGCCACGGGGTTTTTTACATAGGAAATATTAATGAAAATGTCAAAAATACCTCTGTTGCTGTCAAAGGTGTCCTATCTCCTTCCCTGGGTGTTCAAAGCAGTTAATTTATTACAATGTCCTTATGTTATTTCCTCAATGTGAGATTACTGGAAAATAGAAAGATAAGGGAATGTTTCTGGAATATGTGGTTCCTTGTAGAGGAAAGTGTTGGTGTTTCTGAGTTTATCCCAGTGGCTTCTAGTCAGTGCGTGCAGAAGCCCTGTTAACAAGCAGGAGATCACTGGATTCCAGCTCTCCATGACCCAGACCATAGTTCCCTCAGATTTTCCCTGTAAAGGAAAACGAAACTGCCTGTGAACATGAGGTACAGCACAACACTATTGCAGACTGCTCAGATGTGAACAGAGTCCTCATCTGGACTAGGAGTAATTTGAGAGAACTAAATCCTCAGGAATGTTGCAAAGAAGGGTACGGTTAGAAACCTTCACCTCTCCTTTCCTGACCTTGTGAGAGTAAGTTCCTTTTAGTAGAATTGGATTCAATTTTCTTGTATTCTTCTTTGCATTAGCCTAACAACATAGTTAGAAACAAAACCCTTGTTAAGAGGGACTTAATTTTCTAAGACACTGTGATTTGGCAGCCTGGAGCACACTGGCTTTGGAGGTGATGGTTACGCTGCTTTTTCTGCTGCCATCTCAGAAAAAAAGGCTGCGGTCAGTGCCCTGTAGTACCAGCCAGAAACAGCCGCTGGAGACCAGGGGCTGGCACGAGGCACTGCTATTGTGCCAGGTCAGGCTGTGATCAGTGGTATCTGCCTCCTCCCCGTACCCCTATGGCACCAAATCAGCAGGTGCCTGGGGCTTCTGTGCAGAGGACGTGTCTGCGGCGTCCCACCGCCTGCCTCTGCTGCTCCTGCTGAGCCAAACACCAGCTGCAGCCAAACCCCTCCAGATCTCTGGTCTCCAGCCCAGCGTCAGCCATCTGGGACCCACAAGGAACTGGTCTGAAAGCACACTGCTTCAGGGAGGATGCTGACCCACTCAGGCTGCGCCCACAGAGGCAGGTGATGTGTTTGCAGTATTCCTTTCGTGGCATTAATTACTGAGGAGTAATTGCCATCAGTGCTGGGGGTGGTGCTGGGCCAGCTCAGCACACGCTCTGCTGCGCCCTGGGAACGTCTGTTACTTGGCCAGCTCCAGTCAGTGCTGCGGAGATGCCTGGAGTAAGGATCTGGACACAGAGGTCTCAGTGTCACATGTTCCTCATTCCAGTGTTTTGTTTTGTTTTTAAATTAAAATCAGAGGAGTTTGTCTTTCTCCAAAGTGGTCGCAGGAGTTGGGTGTGGGCTGCTTTCCATCCAGCTCCTTGCTTGGTGTTGGCCTTGTGCTCTGTGTCTGCATATTCCCCAGGAACTCCGCCTCAGGAGCGTGCTGTCTGTGTAGACACTGCTGCCTGTGAGCAACTGTGACCTCTTGTCCCATTAGAAAAATCTGAGGAGCCAGTTTCTGCTGCGGGTGTTCCTAAACAGCTTGTTGAAGGGGATGTTTTCTGGCTGCACTGCCAGCTGCAGAGCCCCGGAGTGAGCTGGGGCTGTGCTGTGTGGTGCTCAGCAGGGTTTGCAGAGAAGCAGGAGCCCACAGGGATGTTCTCCCATCTGCTGTGTACACAAGGTGGAGAGCTCAGGTGTGTTACTGGGTGTTCCCGTGCAGCTGGGACAGCCCGTGGAGGTGTGTGCTGGTGTTCATGGCCTTGTGCAGGGCAGGGAGAGATGCTGCAGGGCTACAGCTCCATTACTGCTGGGACCATAAAGAGTCCAGTTCACCTGCAGTCCCTGTGAAGTGGCGTTACTGGGTCAGCTGGAGTGGATCTGGTAGGAAGTGAGCCAAGCTGAGAAGTGGCCCCGTTGCCCCAGGGTCTGAAATGTTGCCAGAAGATCGGGACTTAATTGCAGTCACAGAAGAGTCTGTGCTGGATCCTGAACATCTCGCTGCAGGTCCCCAGCCCATCCAAAGGTCTCCTGTAGACGGGCTTGGGAGATGTCCCAGCCTGTGACACAGCCTGTTTGGAGCACAGCTCATACTCTGACCGGCTGAACTTTGGGATTAAAACCTGTGCCTTAACCTCCCCCCATCCCGTGTGGCCAAGTGGCCCCTTTGCTTCAAGCAGCTCCCAGCAGAGCTGTGCGGGGCTGGCTGTGCCGGGGAGGTGGGATTTCAGGCGCTCGCAGGGAGTGCTGGACCCCAGGTACCAAGCAGCCCTGGCAGCTGGCTCTGGCTGGCTTTGCTTTGTGTTTGTTTACTTTAAAATGTTTTAAGGAAATTTTAAGATGTTGGCAAAACTTTAGCTGAGTGTGGAACTCTTACAGCCAGTGACATTTCATACTGATATTTATATGATGTCTCCTTGAATGTATGTAAAGTACTTTTATAATAGGAGGTTGATGGTACATTTCTGTGTTTCTGTTTTAATAAAGGTTGACCTGGCTATTTTATTTTTCCTTCTGCTGGCTGAATTTCAGACTTTTCCTGTCTCTCATGTGGCAGGAACAGCATCTCTCCCTAACAGTTGATTTGCTCTCTGTGCTGTCCTGTTACCCCTGACCTGTCTGTAGCTGAACTGGTGACAAATCTGAATGACAATGACAGAATGACAGCCAGCCCAGTGGCCCGGGGCACTGATGCTGAGCCTGCCTGGGTGCTGCCAGCTTCCCCTCCAGCTTCACCGAAGTCACGGAGGCTTTAAAAACCCACCTGTTCCACTCATATTTGCTGCCTCCAAGAGTCCTGAGGGAGATGTCCGTGCCGGTGCCCATGGGAAGCAGCAGGACCCCTGGAGCTCACACAGTCCTTGCTGCACTACCGACCCCCGGCAGCGGGAGCGGGTGAGCCCCGGGTGCTGGTGGCTGTGGAGCCTTTGCCTGTTCGTGGTCTGTGTAATGGGAACTGTCCTATGAACTGGAAAAAAAAATAAAGTCTTTATTTTCTATAGTCACTGCTTCAGCCTGTTCTCTCACACCCCTGCAGTCAGTCTCTGTCCCCTGTGGTGGACTGGGCTGGGTGGCACTGACACCATTCAGGGGGACAGCGCTGCAGGTCCGGGCTGGCTGTCTGGCACCAGTTCCCCTGGGGTGTCCCATGGGAGCCAGCGGTGGAGGTTCCAGCTCCTCGGTGCTGCTGCAGTGCCCAGGGAAGGCACCTGGTGCTTGGACAGTCTTTTGCACAAGGTGAACAAACATCCCTCCTCCCAACCACTGCTGTGTTGCCATGTTGCCATTGTCCTTGGCCATGGGCTTATCTTCGTACAGGAACAGCTGGCAACGAGCATTTCAGCAACTCCAGCTGCATCCTGCTGCCTCCCCTTGACATGGGGGGG